CGAATTACATTGCTATTTTCACCACACAAACGAATGGAATATTTCAGAAAAGAATTCTCCCCCGTTATTACAATATTTCAATAATTTTCGCAAATTAAAAAATTTATTTAATACGTTTTAATAATAAATGAAGCGATTTTCACTCATATAATCCCTTTGTACATTACTATCTTTCATTTCAGAACCACTGCATAACTTTTCTAAGACATAAATAGCTTCCGTTAATATATGTTCCCATACATTATATTTATTTTTTTTATATTTTTGTCTTTAATAAATTAATGATAGATAGATAAAAAAATTGATACTGCTTAATTTATAAGCAGCGTAAAAACTGGAAATCTGAGGTCATTAATTTCCGAGACATTAATAGTTTTTCAAGATGCAAATAAAGCAGATAACAATAATCATAAATATTAATGCTCCTAAAATATATCCGCATAACCTAATCGATTTTTGCTTTTTGATCCACCACAAACCTATTTTCATTAAATGAAGTTTTGCGCATTTCTCTGCAAAGTACGCAAAACTTGTTTCATACAACTTTATTTTAACTAAACGTTATACTTGTTTAGGAAAGTATAAAACAAGTATTTATGTGTACTACTTTTAAAATCCATGTGACAGAGTGTGAGTTCTCATCTTGAAATATACGTTGTGTCGATGAGCTTAACTACAAATTATTAAACATTTCTGGCAAAATGCCAAAAATTAAAAACAAAATTTTTTAAACACGTCCTGCGCTGTATCTGCAGGATCTATCAATCAATCAATCGACTCGACAATCGAAAATCAATCGACTTGAATGGAGCTCACCAACATGTAAAAAGCGTTTCTATTAATATGCAAGATATGAGAAAGAAGTTTGAAGACATTATGAAAGAAGCAGAGTTTTGAATATACAATTCTTGTATATTCACAAAAATACAAATATACAAATTTATATACAATTTATATACAAATTTTTGTATATAAAATAAATGGGACATAGAAACTAAATTTGAAAAAATAGAAGAAAATAAAAACAAGAAAATATTGATGAGTTATGTGAGGATAACAGGCTTGAAAATTCCGAAATGTCTTTTAAAGTAACAGTTTTTTATGCTGCTCTCGACATTTTAAATACTCAGTTAAAATACAGAATGACTGGAATAACAAAAATCGCAATGATGTTTTCATTTTTGGAACTTAAATTTCCGTATTTGTCATTGTTAACAAATACGGAAATTATTAATAACTAGCGGGCTGAAGCCCGCTTTTAATTGTTGACGTGTATAAGAGTTCCTATGTTAAATATCACCGTTATGCCATAGTTGGACCGAACTACCAGGGTTCAGCGGTTTTGCGCGGGTTCCCCCTGCTTTATTCCCATGCGCGCATCCAGAAGATACTGCATACACGTCACACATGCGTAAAATCACGAAAACACCTAAGCAGGCAGCCCGCTCGCCGGGATTCGAACTTTGGACCGAACTACCTGTGTTCAGCGGATTTGCGCGCGCTTTATTCACTTGTGCATCCAGAAGATACTGCATTCCCAATACACATGCGGAAAATCACTGAAACACATATAGAGTCAGCCTGTTGGCCGGGATTCAAAAGTTGGACCGAACTACCAGCGTTTAACGGTTTTGACCGGGTTACGCCTGCTTTATTCACGTATTCATCCAGAAGATACTCCGCACACAATACACATGCGTAAAATCACGAAAACACCCATGCAGCCAACCCGCTAGCCGGTATTCGTAAGTTGGACCGAATAACCAGCGTTCAACGGTTTTTCGCGGGATTCATCCGCTTTATTCACCTATGCATCCAGAAGATACTGCATACACGGTACACATACGTAAAATCACCCAAACACCCATGGACCCAGTCTGTTTTTCCGGGATTCGAAAGTTGGACCGAACTACCAGCGTTAAACGGTTTTGCGCGAGCTGCACCCGCTTTATTCACGTATGCATCCAGAAGATACTGCAAACATCATACACATGCGGAAAATCAAGAAAACACGCATTCAGCCAGCCCGTTAGCCGGGATTTGAACGTTGGACCGAATTACCAGTGTTCAGCGGTATAAGCGGGCTGTGCCCGCTTTATTCACATATGCATCCACAACATACTTCATAAACGTTACACATGCGGAAAATCACGAATATTTGTCATTGTTAACAAATACGGAAATTATTAATAATGTTTCAAAAATACAGAAAAAAATATAAAGAAGACTTTGCTAATGTACTGGAAGTACAACTTTTATTATTTATAAATACTTTCAGAACAGATATCCAAAATTTGAAATCCGTTAAGGATTTAGCTAAATTAGCAATGGTAAAATACTATGACATGACAAGCAGTTAATCGGGAGTGCAATTAACTTATATTGTATTTATCATTCATTATCTGTAACCAAAGCCACGAGCGAGAGGTCATTTTCAATAATAAAAACATATTTAAGAAACACTATGATACAAGATCGGTTGTTAAACCTATCACTATTGAGCGTTGAAGTTGACATGGTGGCTGTGAAAATGGACGTCCAGGTATTGATAAATAATTTTGCGGAAATGAAGGTTAGGAGACGCAAATTTTAATAAAAAAGATTTTTGTCTTTATGATGAATTTCGGTCACCAGTGTTATAATTACACTTATTGAGGGGGGGGGAATTAGAGAAGAACAGCAGTACGGGCTGAGGGAAAATTAAAAAGAAACAGGAAAAATCTTTAGCATTCATGTTTTTTTTATAAAAATGATGTATTCAAGTAGTTTAGTGTACCAAAAGGATTTTTAAAAGGACAGCAAAAATATTACATATTTTCTACTAAAATTGTATATTCAAATAGTTTTCTTTATGAAGTTTATGATAAATATGTTTTATATTTAACAAATGTACTTGTATATTATTGCATAAATTATGTTCGTAAGTTGAGTAAAATCACAGAGTACTATCTATTGATGTAATATTTTTTCTGTACGTTTATCAATTATCTTGTCTGTCAATATCAATTATCTATCACTCACACGCACACGCACGCACAAAAAGTCTTAAATTACAGAATTAAAATCATCTGACGTCAAATACCCAGACTAAAGCAAATTTGCATTTCACCAGTTAGCAAAGGGGAAATATTTTCCTTTTTATTCTTTCTTCATATTACATAACTTTCAAATGGTTCCCTGAGAACGTGCTTTTATTTTTTAACAATTAATCCAGATGTGATAAAAATCATGAAAACATTGGCTCCAGGAATCCTTGATTTTTTTTTTTTTTTTTTACTTTTCACTTTTCACGTTTTTTTTCTTTAGTTTAATTTTTATTTTTAAGCACATTAAATTTATTGGTTTAGGGACCCAGGAAATTATTTTGCATACGGGACCAAGAATTCTAGTTACACACCACCACTGTCTATAATGTATATATGCGTAGCTAGTATATGTGTAATGAGATGAACTACCAGTGCTCACACACACTTTACCGCCAGGCCGCTGCTGAACCCTTCATTAATTAATGACATAATCACACAAAGCCACGCATTTACACACAAACTCGTGAACATAACAAGCAACCGCGCATTAGCGGGATTCGAACTTCGGACAGAACTACCAGTGCTCACACACTTTACCGCCAGGCCGCTGCTGAAATCTTCATTAATTAATTACATAATCACACAAAGCCACGCATTTACACACAAACTCGTGAACATAACAACCAACCCAATTATTCTACACTTATATAATAATTCTATAATTATTCACATTATTTAAGTGATATGATTCATTAGTGTAATTGTACTGGCTCGTATACACACGAGGAAAACCACGAAATTTCCAATGCAGCCAGGGCAATATGAAAGACAAAAAAATGTAACAAATAACCAACAATTAAAGGTTACCAATAATAGTGTACAACAGAGATGTATACCTCTCTCGCCAACTGAAAACAATTGTTAAATTCAATGGAAATGAATTTTCAAAATCAACAGACATGCGGTCTTTAAATTTTGTACATCCGAACTGTCTTCTCTCTTAAGCAGCAATATGACAAAACATTTAAAAGAAGAGCATATCTTTAGAATTTCCGATAGACAGTCTTGCGCCGAACAGTGTTGCCATTGCTCGCTTAGAAATCGTCGAGTTTCTTAATCAAAAACACATAAATGCTTTACAAAATGTTAAATAGTTAATAAAACAAATTACAAATTTGAGCTTTCAGATGCCCATATTCGGGTGGTGACGTACATATTCAAAATTTCATAGCTGTAGGTACCGTTGTTTTATCACAGTATCTGCATAAATGTTATGTACGTTAAACATACGTATATTTATGCTGATTCTTTATTATTAAATATCTTTAAATATAACACACAGCGATAATATTCGGTAGAAACAGTTCAACGCAAAATGCGAAAACGAAATTAATAGCCCTTCTGGGCTAACGCGCTTTGGGATAAAAACGCAAAAATAGAACATAACAGCTTTCATTGTCAGTGCTTAAAAAAAAAAAAAAAAAAAAAAAAACGATAGGCCTTATTTAATTTAATAAAATCGAAAAGTTGAGCAAGTTGCATATTTTTGAGAGGATAAATATGCCACGAAACCTTCAAAATCATTTTTTAGTTCATCACGCACGCATATCTGCACACAAAAATAACAATACCTATTATTCTTCTGCATCTCTGTTTAAAAATGTTTTAAAAAAACATATGTACCGAAAAACATTTATTTGTAAAGTAAAATATTTTTTTTTTTTCGAAAATATTTTAAATAAATTTAAAAAAGAAGATTTTTCGCGATCATATTTTGCCGCGGTTAAGCCCGTGCAGCTGTCTGTCTGTCTGTCAGGTACTGAAAAAAATCAGTACCTCGGTACTTACGTGAAAACGTGGTTTGGACTTTGCCAAAGCTAAGTTTACTTTTAATCTATTTTCATCATCCATTACATTTTTTAATATTATTTTTCACTTGAAATTTGTTTTAATACTTTGTTTTCATAGATACATATCATTACTATTATTTTTATTTTCCTTTTTTTTTTTTTTTTTTTTTGTAACAGTACTTTCTAGTTTGAACTTTTCACTTCTCTATCTTCCTATAATGAACTAATATTGTTTAATTAAACTTATAATTACTTTTCATCTTTATTAAACTTTTTTATTTCTGATAGTTTTGACTTTTGCATAATTGCCAAGTTTCTGAAATTTCTAACAATAAATTTCATTAAACTATTTCTGTCACTGTACTGACTTTTTTGAATATGGCTTCTTTGCATGAAAAACTGAAATATTTCTGTTTAATTACTGACATGCATTTAATTAATACAGAGGCAGCTGCACTCGAGTTTGCCACCGATGCTGGACTTCTTCCCAGAGAGGATGAGGCACCACCTTGCCCCAAGTGCCAGGCACCGATGAGAAGCAACAAGAGAAAGGAATCAAAGCTGGGATGGCGTTGGGTCTGCAGCCTGAGAAATCGCAACAACTGCTCTGGCATGATTAACCCCATTGAAAACACATTTTTCGAAGGTACAAAAATCCCAATAAGGGAAGCTTTAGTCATAACTGTGTACTTTGTTCTAGATCACAGTTTCAGCTACATAAATCAGCAGCTAAAGCTATGGAGGGAAAAGCAAAAATTACCAGTAATTGCAAATGAGACTATTGTTGACTTTTTATCATATTGTCGTGAGGTATGCGAAATTTTTGCCTCTCATCATAGCAGAATGTTAGGTGGTAAAGGAAAATCTATATTAATTGATGAAACATTTTTGACCCGCCGCAAGTACAACCGCGGCAGGGTAACCAAAAATATGACCATCGTAGTTTTAGGCATCTACTGTCGAGAAGACAAAGAAGGATTATTTTTCAAGGTTAAAGGAAAAAGCAAAAGGCATTTGTGGCCTTACATTAAACGTCATGTTCACCCAGAAACCACCTTCATATACACTGACTCTGCTCCACAATATAAAAGGATAGAAAATTTATTTCCGGCAGCAACACATAAAACTACCAATCACAAGAAAGGTAAATATGTGTCTTTTTTTTTAATGAGTGACATTTTTTTTTTTTTCATCCTTAACATTCATTAATCCTTTATTTACAGGCGTATTCGTAGATCCCGATGATAAACAGAACACTATAAATGATCTTGAGGGTGAAAACAAACTTTTTAAGAGGTCTATAAAGAGCAAGAGAACAGATGATATTTGCACGCAGTACATGGCTGTACATTATTACAGGCGGTTCCGCTTGAAGCCCTTTACTTATGATGGAGAAAGACTTGCTCAGTTTCTACAGGACATTAAAGCTGTGTATCCAGGCCATGGAAAAGTCGGCCTTGAACTTAAAATGTTGGACGAACCAACATCAGAAAGCGAAGGAATTGAGGACCTGATGCCTCCAAAGAAATCAGCCCGACAAGATGATGATATACCATTCATTCAGGAAGATGATGATAAATGGGGTAAAACCAACAAATATAACTTTATTTTTGACATAATTTATTTATTTACATATATATACATACAAAAATTGCATTTAAATATTAAATTACATACCATTATAATCTATGTGCTTATTTTTCAGAGTAAGGGAACACAGACCAAGTTTTAAAACTGGAATAAATGATAAGAAAAGCATACAAGTAAATTGTTTACTATAATTTGTGTAAATGTTCAGATGGTCCACAAATTTTGATTTAATACCTTTTTGTTTTTCACTACATGAAATTGTTATTTTTTATTTCCTTTTAGAATTCAACCAAAAAACAGAGCCCAGAAAACAAAAGGATGGAAATGTTGCGAAAATGTTGCATATCTTTTACAGAAAGAGGTAAATGTGTATTTCAGTTATTCTCAACTTTTATTTTGACGTGAGAGCTATTCTTTATATATTTTGTTATTCCTTCATTAAAATAAACTTTCTTTCACAGCTGCAGATCCAAAATGTCATGAAATACTATGACAGAGGTAAGACAAAATTTTAACCATTCACAGCTTATGTTTCAAATTAGTGCTTCACTTTATTTTAATACTACTCCTTCAGTAAAAGCAACTGTAAAATTTATTTAGTTATTATTAGTATAAGTTTACCTACTTATTTTTCAGTAAAAAAAACTTTATTGCAAATTAGGTAATCCAAAAAAATAAATAAAAGAAAGAAGAAAACTAATTTTGACAGATAAATTGACAAACATAGAGGTGAGTTGATTAATTTAAAGGTTTCCAGCCTACTTCTTACCAGAAAACATTTTATTGTTAAGGATAATTTATCACCCCTTTCAGGTAAAGAATATTGCAGAAATGAGAAATGAATCATGGAAAGAAATGAATCTTCAGTCAGAAAATATACAGGTGAATTCATTACTTTTAATGTTTCCAGCCTGTTTATTTTAATTATGTATTTTCATACTACGTTTATTATTTTAATTTTACCGTTTATTTATTATTTTAAATATAAGGATTCAATCTTACATTATTAACTTCTTAAACTTGCCACCCTTTTGTGGTAATTGTGTATTTTTGTACTATGTTCAATTATTATTTTCTAGTTAAAAAGAGTATGTAGTTAACAAAAGATTAAAACTAAACAACAGAAAGAACACTTTTAGAAAAAATATTAAAACATTTAATAAAAGTGTTTATATATACGCTAACTTATGTTTTCATTATCGTAACCTTGTTTAGTTATCTTGTATTATGAATATGCATAATATGGATATTTTGTTTAGGGACTTCAAAAATAACATTTTGCTGCCACTTAGACGAGGGAAGAAGCAGATGGAGAAATCAACTCGGATGACAAACCCAGTGCCTGGGGGTATAGCCAGGTTTTTCTTTCAAGAAACACATCCGAGTTGAAACGACTGATGCGGGCCACACCTGAAAGCGAAGGAACTGAGCAACTGCTGCCACCACAGGAAATCTCGACGATCATGAAATTTAAAATCTTGTTTATTTATCTTGTATTCTGAACATATATAACATGGATATTTTCTCTACAAAAAACTCCAAATAGTGAACTGCCAAGTAATACTGCTGCTGAAAACTGCAAAATGTGGTGCTGAATGGTAAGTAATATAAAATATATGTGTACACATTAAAATTAGAGGATTATGGCTCCTGGCGAAACCTCGTAAAAAAAAAACGCATCAGGATTCCTACCTCCTAGTCTTACACGTACTAGCTTAAAAATTGGGATTATTTGTAACTATTTTGTTTCACTAATATCATTAATCACATTTCTTACTGTTTCTATTTTTTTTATCAAATTTAGATTTAATTAAAAATCACTTTAACCTGCATGTAACGTCATGTAATGTGAAAATAGTGCCTATTTTTTAAATGAAATTATATGATAATACCCGCATAAATATTTTTTATAAATAATTGATTTAAATATAATTATAAAAACTCTAATTTACAAAATTTGGTAATGCTTCAATTAAAATGAATAGTCAAAAAGCAGAAGAAAAGATTTTTCTTTTTTTAAGTACGTGTAAGTCTTAAGGTGATGTGGAAATGGAATCATTTCTAATTTCAAAATGCAAAATGCTTGTAAAAATTGTTCTTTTTCAGATCTGATGAACAGGCCTCGATCTATAAGAGTGGAGTTCAGTGAAACGAAGTATTGGATTTTAACAAGGAATGAATCTATAACAGTTTTTCTTGTGAAAAAATGAAATTTTATAAGTTATCAGCAGAGTCATAGTTACTGTTTTCAGCGCCCAGGGAAAACTGAAGATTTTGTGCCCCTCCCGACTACTGGCCAAAAATGGAAAACATTCAACTCTAAAAATTCGTAACATCATTTTGGCTTCCCTTGGATGATGTGCCCACGGACATATGCCCCCTTTCTAGCCCTGGTTATCATATACACAGTTTCTTGTGAACTTGTTGACTGTGAGAACCTGGATACATATTTTCTTGCAAAACTGTGAGAAACTAGATAAAAATTTTCTTGTGAAAAGATGAAACTGTGAGAACCTGGATAAAAATATTCTTGTGAAAAGGTGAAACTGTGAGAACCTGGATAAAAATTTTCTTGTGAAAAAGTGAAATTTTTATATAAATATAAATAACATAATTTAAGAAGACAAAGATTGTACAAGCAATGTCATCTAGGGGTAAGTACCTTCATTTTGCAATATATGTTTACATTGATAAATTAAAAAATATGAAATTCTAGCATATTGAAACATAAGTTAAGAAATATTTGTTTAAATTTATTAATTAAAAAAGGTGAAATTCTTACATACTGAAACAAAAGTTAAGAAATTAATTAATTAAAAGAGTTGAAATTCTTGCATATTGAAAAATAAGTTAAGAAATGTATGTTTAAATTGATTAATTAAAAAAAAAGTTGAAATTCTATATATGTTCAAATTGATTAATTAATAAAAAAAAATGAGTGCTATATACTGAAAAATAAGTTTCTTAAAAAGAACTTACCATATATTACAAATACCTTAATAAATGTTCTAATTTTTCATTTCTCATCCATATATATCACGTTTAACTATCATACACTTACCTGCATAACATAATTAATTTAAATATAAATTCATTATTAATTTAAATGCCAAATAATATAATGCCGAAATTACATGCAAGTCAAATTTTTAGGTTGGAAGCTTTCTTTTAAATCGATTGTTTACAGTTTGAGCGTAAGTACTTCTTCGCCCTATAGCGTTTCATGCAAAACATTTCACTCGTTAAAGTACACGTTAATTAAAATTTCTTGTTCTATTACTTTAGACTGAATTACAATTAGTAAGTTATCATATCATGCTTAGTAATATAACATTAACTATGTTGTACAACATTGAAGAAATAGGGAATGTCAGGCGTCATCATGTCAACATGAACAAGGGTAAGTTCAATTTTTCCTTTTGGCAGTTCAGAATTGTTTTCCCTGTCCACTTCCCTCGGATAGGGAAAACAATATTTGGCCGCCATCTTGGATTTCGAAATGCGCTTTCTGGCGCATTTCTGAAATCCAAGATGGCGGCCAAAAACTCGCCAAATTCAGCCAAGAGCCGGGTATCCGAAATGAGCCGCAGGCACTGTTGGTAAAAACATATTTGTGGATGTCCCTTGGCAATAACTGGCAGTACATGGACACCGAGTTTGTGCAATTTTTTTACTAGTTATTTTATCTTTCTGTAGCAGTGATTTTTGCACAAAAAATATCGGCTACACAAATCCAAAATAACACGTCAAAGAACTGCACAAACTCAGTATCCATTCACACATCGCAGCTACAAATCCAAAATAATAAGTCAAAGAATTACACAAACTCGACATACATGTACACATCGACCTATTTCCACTTAAAAAAAATCAGAATTGCACAAACTACTCATTGTGCACTCCATTGACTTTGTACACATCAATCTATATTCACTTGAAAAGCCAAAAAAGCAGCCAACAACAACAAATATATATAATCTCAATAAACTACATTTTAAATCAAACAATGAAATAACAAAAAAAGAAATTCATCTTAGCACTACACAATAGAAATATCCACTTATCTTATTTGCAAATTTCCTTGTCTTCAGTCAAACAAAATTCCTTAACAGCATCCAAAAATTTCCTAAAATTATCTGAACTAGAATTTGTAAACTGGCGTCACCACACAAGTTCATAAAAGTAAGAGTCAAAAATATCTTGTCGTTCAACCATACACATTTCCACAAACAGGACACTTATGATGGCAACTAAGTAAACCTTCATTTACACACAAGTTAATGATTTTTCCCCTTCGTTCGAAATCATACAGAAACTTCAGATTAATCTCACAACATTTAGCCACTGTGTAAACCACAGAATAACAATAGGGAAAAGTGCAGAATCCTCCACTTCGCACATTTTTAAGAATTGCACATACTCAGTATCCATGTGCCCATCGACCTATTTTCACTTTAAAAAAAATTCCAGAATTGAACAAAAATGGCATTGTGCACTCCCTTGACTTTATCCATGTACACATAGACTGATTTTCACTTAAAAAGTCAAAAGAAAATCGACAAAAATCCAATTCTTACTCAAATAAATAATAGTAAAAAGAGCCAAACAAATAAGTGGGCAATTCTGCACTTTACCCTAACAATGTACCAAAATCCATCCCATCACTCAAATTCACCTCATTCACACAACCAATTACGTCATAATAGGGTTTCCATAGTATTTAACTACTTGGGTTACCATAAATGAAACAAGACCTTAATGATAATCTAAGAGGCACCCTTCAATTACTCAAACCTGCACTTTTTAATGTGATCATGTCGCTTCAAGATTATTTTGGTATTAACCAAATGACACTAAGTGATCAGAAAAATATTTTTTAAACTATCAGTGGACTTTAAATATAACTACAAACATACAAATACTTTCTCTCTCAGTATTTTACTTACAAAAAAGTCATTAACAGTTGGAGTATATAGAATTCCTCTGCAAAAATTCCCAACACAAACTGTTTATATTCATCACGTTGGAAACTTGTTTTCAGAAAGCGGCAGGCAGATATCTTCTTTGATCCCCAACACTGCAACTTGAGTTTTCTTATCAATATCCAACCAAGTGTTAAACTCATAATTAATGTTATTTGGAAACGCTTTCAGTTATTTCATTTTCTTTATTTCATCTTCTTTATTTCATCATTTAGTAAAAGGTACGCACGTTTAAAGCTGTTCTTTCAAGATTCTTGGCCTCTTTACAGTCAAAAGTCGTTAATCCGGACTCGTCGGGACTTCGGCGATTCCGGATTATCGATTTTTCCGGATTATAGATCATCAGTTTAAATCTCGTAAGATGGCATGCAGAAATTCCAAAATTAAAAATATGAAACCGTAATTTATGAAATAAAGAACAATTATGATCTAAAGGGTATCAAAATTTGCAAAAGAAAAAGCTTAATATTTTTTTGTTTACTTTATTAAACATTTCTTTCAATGTAAGTTGTTTAAGTTTTGCTTCGTTTCATGTGATAATACTTTCTCTTTAATTCTATTAAACAGACATAATTTCTTGTTCAGTTACAAAGTTCCGCCGTTCAAGTCCTATAATTGCTGTGTCAAGAACACCGACTAATTTGTCAATCGAAATTTTTTTGTTTTCAATAACCTCTGTCACTTTTCTTCGCTATGGGAAGCGAATTATAATGACGAGGAACTTGTTTTAAATCATATCAAAGAAAATCATATCAAAGACGGAGCATATCGAGATGAAATACTACATTTGGTAAGGAATTATAAGCCAAATAAAATAAAAACATCTGTGCTGAAGATAAGGATAGTGCTGACAAATCAACTTCCAATTCATTACGCGCCCGCCGCCGAGCAGCGTGAAAATGATGAACAGATTTCGGATTTCAAAACATACTTTCGCTTTAGATCCTTTACATATTAACAAATATATATTGGAAATTCTATTTGATATAATCGAAAGTTTAAGCTTACTTTTATAAAATTGCTCTTACAGTCTGCAAAAAATAATAAGCCGGATGCAATTCGAAAATTAAGGAACAATGCAATCATCAACATTAACTGAAATAGATAATTATTTAGCTTATATGTCCATTATACATAAAATGCGCACGCGAAAACGTATTCTGCACTTGCACACACTCATATGCGCAGTCGTAAAAGGTCTTACGCGCACGCGTGAACGCCTCTGCGCATGTGTCAACGCGGCGCATGCGCAGAAAGTTTTTAGTTTTGATGTCCGGATTATGGATCATTCCAAATTATGGGTGTCCGAATTAACGACTTTTGACTGTATTTCTTATTTGGTAACACGTCTCGCATTTAAAAATTTCAGTATTATACTGTGACCTTATCCAGCAATTTTATTTTTTTATTTGGTGGCATTATTTCAATTTAAAAACTTTATTCTACACTATTTTAATCATATTAATTAAATTGTTGATCACAACAAGCAACATATTTTCCATGCTTTCATATTAATTCATAAGCAAAGGCAAATACAGAGTAGATCATCTGACCCAGCAGGTCACTTGTTGCAAGAATTAAATGTAGAAATCTATTTTAAAGCAATCATCGCAAAATTTTCATTCACGGCAAAACAAACAAAATCTACTTATACTACTACTTTATGTATTGATTTCAGGCATAAATAGCCAATTAAAACAGAATGTATATATATGATAAATAATTTTCAGCAATTATTATTCTTTCGTAGTAAACTACTCAAATGCACCAAGGTTAGCAAGCACGTACTTTGTTTTTTAAACTACATAACTCATCATTGAAATACTTTTCAGGTATTATTTTGAATATATACAGTCTAAAAAAGTATAATTTCTTTACCTTTCTCCCAAAAGCTCTTTACCATTCAACTCATAAACTGCATCGTCGGCATCGCGATAGTCATCAAATTCCTGTAAAAAATGTTTAAATCCTGGTTAATTATTTCACACAAATGTATAACTTAAAAATAAAAAAGGTAAATCTATATTTCCTAAACTAGCAGATTACTTCAAGATATAAACACAAATTTTTAAAACTCTTTAATAATAGATATTATTTTAAAATGTATTTTAACAATGTTAACATTTCCTCTTACTCTTTTTTATGCTAATTTTGACTTGATTAACACAATGCTTTTTCTATACCTGAATCTACAAAATATCATTTTTAAATACATATGCTTAATATCAAAATTAATGCCTTTCTGCTAACTGAACTTAACTGCACTAATTATTGTGTTTAACAAACTAAATATGACTTGCTTAGTTAGGATAAATCAGCTAATTTTAACATACATATGCTTAACATCATGCTGAATTTTGATTCATATATGCTATTTATCTTGTTTTATTTTAAAACTTATCTCTATAGCTAAAAGCATTACGAATGGCAATAAAAAAAAGGCACTGTCGCCAATGGGTTCTTTGGAAGGGGGGATCAAAAACAAAATGTATAACAAAAATTTTAAATGTCTGACTCATTTCCATAGGAGTTACTGATTAAGACTTTTTGAACAAATTATTTTATTAAAAAGCTATTTTGATGATATTTGGGCTAATCTTTGGAATATGGTAACAGATGGTAGTTTGGGAACATTTTGGTAAGGCGATAAAGGTTACTAGCTAGGACTTTCAGTATACATGAATAAAGTCAACAGTGTGCGCAATGACATTTTTGTGAAATTCTGGAATGTTTTTTAAGGAAAAATAGGTTGACGTGTACATGGATTATACTATGTATGTGCAATTCTTAAAAATGCGGCAAGCAGTTTGCGATTCTGCTCTTTCTCCCAAATTTGCACCTAATCTTTGTCATGATTAAGCATTTTTGTTCCATAAAAGTTCTAATATAAGCGTAATTTGGCAAGCAGATTGTTGGAAAAAATGTTGAGTTAAAAAAAAAACCATGCCTTTACTTCGTGAAAACAAAAAGGCGTCCAAAACAAAACTAGCAGGTTGCTGTAGCAGGGTTGGTCGCCAAATTTTCGCCAAGTTACCATAATCCAAAGATTAACCGATATTTGTTTTGTAATAAGCAAGGCTAAAAGTATGGGAAAAACTATATCTCAAGGGGAGGGAAAAAACATGAAGCATGTGTTTCATTATTTCATACAAGATTTACACGAATACATTTTTTAAAGAGAATTAATGAATAATTTATTCTACATGGCTGGGTAATAGACAGGAGACATATTTCCTTATTTTGACAGGATCAAAAAGCTCTATTCACTCAGTTACAAGCTGCTCCATGGTGATTCCTCCGAAAGAAAATTATAAAAGCTTTACCGTGTAAAGTGCAGAATCGCCCACTTGTTTGGCACTTTTTACAAGAGTAAGAAGAATTAAAATTTTTGTCAATTTCCTTAGTCTTTTTAAGTGAAAATACATCGATACATACACAGACAAAGTCAAGGGAGTAGCAATGCGAAATTTGCACATGGAAACCAAGTTTGTGCAATTCTTAAAAATTCTGCACGTTCCCCGATAAGTTTTCACCATACAAACTAAAGTGATTGCATTGTTCGAAGCTGTTTAATATAAAACATATTTTGCCTATCATACTAGTTATTAATTTTAAGCATCCAGTTTTAGTATTCAGTTTTTGATTGCTAGATTTATCAATAAAAGTAGTTAACATTAAAAATCTTAATTTTCTGAATACTTTTAGAAAGCTGATCAAAATTGCAAGCTCTAAATATTATCATCTTGAAATTTGGTATATATACCTTTTACACGACTGAGCTTCGGGAAGTAAAGTCCGCGTTTTACATTTTGTGCTACAAAATGAATCACTACCTTACACTTCAATTCGTCTGCATATAGTAAAATACTCGTAAATGGGGTAAAGTGCAGAATCGCCCATTTATTTGCTTGGCAGTTTTTACAAGAGTAAGAACTGAATTTTTGTCAATTTTGACTTTATAAGTGAAAATAGGTCGATGTGTCCATGGATAAAGTCAAGGGTATGCGCAATGCCATTTTTGTGCAATTCTCGGATGTTTTTTAAGTGAAAATATGTCGTAGTGTACACGCATACCGAGTATGCGCAATTCTTAAACGAGCCAAGCAGTGAGTGATTCTGTACTCTTTCCTTTAAATGCATAAAACAGTATCTGTTTCAGATAGCTATATATGATTTTTCCAATATCAATAAATTTTTCCAACAGTGATGGTGGTGTATTTAATTATGGCAAAGCACAATAGGGCTATCTGCCTAAGGGGAGGGATGCCTTCGTGGAGGGCTTTCTAAGGGAAACTGGCTCGTATACACGTTACACATGGGGAAATCCACGATAACACCCATGCAGCCAGCCCGTTCGCGGGATTCGAACCTCGGACCGAACTACCAGTGTTCAGAGACTTTACCGCTCGGCCGCTGGTGGGCCCTTTTCCAACAGTGAAGTAATCACTATAATTACTTTACATATCAATTACTTTACTCCTCCTACATACCGTTTAATGATGAATGATGAATAAGATAATACACAATTCTTCCGTACTTCAAATTTGAACATAAAATCTCCCTTTAAAATTACTTACCACAAATCCGAAACCATTCTTGATCAATATTTCTCGAATTCTCCCATAACCTTTGAAAAACTTTTCAAGATCTCTTTCCCTTACATCATAAGCCAAACGTCCTATATAGATCCTAGTACTCATGGCAAAGCCTGCAAAATGTAAATAATTGTTTAAAAAATAATACATATGAATCATAAAAATGGCTGAAATTTACACCGTATCACAAAATTAAACAAGTTACTTAATATACCGAAATTCTGAAATATGCAAATATGAAGCTCGAAACTTCAAAATGAATTTTAAGTTACGAATCAAAATTAGACTTACTTAATAATCACGCTATATCAATTACTTTACTCCTATACATAAATATTAGATCCAACGACAAAACAGTATACGCGGTACGTAAACCTACGGGGTTTCCTTTGTGTTTTAAAGGGCGAAAGTTTGATAATCAACCAAGTTGAGATGTCGCATGGCAACTGTAATACAACAGCTACCATTTTTTTTTTTTTTTTTTCCCTGCCAGATACAGGTGTTTCTCAGTTTTAGGGCTCTAGTCTGGACACCGGTCGAGATCGATATCGGAAAACCAGTTGGGATCCTCTTTCCTCTCGACAGCAGACAGGACAGCGAGTCTGACTAGTATGACCCCTAGTATATAGGAGCCTGACCACTTCAAATTCCGCCCGCGAAAAATGAAGTGGAAATTCCGTCCGGAAGTGACGTTTATCGCATAGCAAACCAGTCTGTCTCACCTCTAAGGGCCCTAGTCTGGACACCGTCGAGATAGAAGAACGGGTCGTTTTTTGCGATCTACTCGACAGATAGCGAGTCTGGTCACTAGTCTGAACACCTGTCGAGATTGATATCGGAAAAACCAGTCGGGATTCTCTTTCCACTAGACAGCAAACGGGAGAGCGAGTCTGACCCCTTAATACCGTCGGCGGAAAATGAAGTGGAGATTCAACCTTGATAAAACATTTAGTAAAGAGCACAGAAAAAAGAAATGGGAAGCGTCAATGGATATTTTACACAAAACTGCAGATATGTGAAGAGCGTAAGCATAATTTTACGTATGATCTTTTGCAAAATGTAACTTTTCTAAAAGGTTACATGTTTGTAAACTATTTGTTAACAGTTTTATGGTTAAAATATTTTTTGTCTTAAAAAGTTATGTAACAGTGTCCTAAATTAAATCATTAAAATATAGCATCGCGTACGCGTGTTTAATATTCCTATTTAATTTGAATCAAAATTTTTTTCAATTTTTAGCAGCCCATGATAATATCAATAATTTTATTTATTCAGGAATTCTACTTATCACGTAGCTACAAATATACCATGTATCGAAAATACCAATAAGCAGAAAACTTTGGATTGATGCATTAAAAGACGATTTACTAGTGAGTAAAAATGTAAGAAATTTTTAACAAAAGTAATGGAAAGGAAAATAAAAAGAATTAAATAACTATAGGTTAAATCACAAAACATATCATCTTGCATATAAATACACACACATAACCATATATCTATTATATAAAATGGAAGGGGAAATTGCATAACAGCTGCATATTAAGATAATGAAAAGATTTTTCTGTTTATATAAATGAACTCTGGCATTCTTCCGTGTCAGTAGGTGCAATTATAGATACGTGGGTACCATCCTACAGTGCTGATGACACCAGAAAATCCAAACTTTCGATTGAATCGTAATTTGATTTTGTTTTGTTGAAAACTATGTAAATTTATCTATTTGGTGAAAATACCAGAACAAATAGCATATGTAACCTCTCAAATGCACCAACTTGACATTTATTTCTCAGCCCAATATATCTGTCATTAACAATATATCTCTGGTAACTTCCAGAAGCAAAACAATTTAAAGCAAACAAAACTTGTTTTGAATAAATAAATAACTATATATATATATATATATAATTTCTTTCCTAAACAGTATTGATTAATTCATTAAATTATCTCCTAAGTTTAATTAAAGTAGAATAATTTTAAAAGTGTGCATCCATACTGGTAAGTTATATTTTGAAAGATGTTTTGAAGTAATTTGAAAGCAAAATGTTAATAATGTTTTAACGGGGACTGGAGTTAAATCATCACGAAGAATAATATTTCAATTGTAAAAGGAAAAATTAAAAACATGTAATTATTGTCATTGATCGGAAATTAGTTGACTTTTCAAAGGGAACAAACCAACTCCCGTTCAATGAACAATAATTGATAAAAATACGTAAATATGAAAGTGTTTCGTCTTTACTCGAGTTATAAGTTAAAGCCAAACCGGCAATTCTAGTCAGGCCAAATATTTCCGCGAATAGTTGCTACTCAAAGAACTTATTCTCATGAAGCATTTTAGTCAATTCAATTTGGAGTAAAAATCAATTACTGTAGAGAAATCCTGTAAAACTCGAGTAACCGTCCCCGACACTATCATCTTTATGTATTTGAGTACTATATTATTTGTAGAAATTAAACATTGGAAATTGTCATTATGAAATCGAATTCAAAGTAAAGTTGAAAAAAACATAGAAGATTATAAAAAAGATAAATAATGCAAACTTTGTAAAAACAAATCAAAGAAAGCATAAAAATAATATAGAAAATAATATAAATAAGATCAGTGAATGTACATGAAGTTATAAAGGCCAGAAAGGTATTAAGTAACTTACATTCTTTCTAGTGGGGGAGTTGGCAAAGTGTTCTCTTCGTGTCTGACTCAGAAGTGTAGGGTGTCCGAAAATTCTTAGCGGCAGTAGGGGCTTTGAATAAAATCAGTCGGTAAGACTTGGGTGAAAGTAATTTATGGTAGTGGTGGGACTTGGAATTCTTGAGGGATGTATTATGTGGAGTTCTTATTTGAGAGAGACCGTCTGTTAAGATTTTTTTGAAAATACTAGTGAGTGGAAATTAATTAATTTCTGGCTAATTGTCGTGTCGCAATGATTAAGAATTTAAGAAAGGAAAAAGGAATTTTCATTGTCCAAGAGCTGATAGACAGACTAAAGGCATGAAATAGGCCCATTTTTTTAGTAACAGTATAGTAACAGTATATGTCTGAAGACAATTAGCTTTTGACAATATATGCAATTGAGTAATTACACTATATACAAATCTTCCAACTGACAGTCATCCAAGTTATACCGCCTTCTCAGGTTTAGGAATAAATTATCATATCCCTATCAGTTAAATGATTTAGAGTGAGTATTTAACGCCTGCTCTTTTAAGGCAATGGTTGATAAATTGAAAGGGAATTAGATTATTTTTGAGAATTTTGATAAGGATCAAAATTTGGCGTTGTAAATCTATTGTATCTGTGCATATAGTTTTAATTCGTTTGTATTTGATTAATTATAGTATTGTTAATTACTTTTTTGGATATGTTGGAGTTCCAATTTAATAATTTGTTAGTATTGAAATTGAAGTTTCTTGTTTTGTCAAAAAGTAAAATTTTTTTGTAGTTAATGATTTGAAGATCTAGAAAGTCTATGCTATTTTGTGAATTATTAGTTTTATTAAGTTTAAGACAATTCGGATAAATGTCGGAGTTTTCAATTTTACCAAAATTATTAATTGTAATAAGGTCATCAATATATCTGTAGGTGTGTTTTGTAGTAATTTAACTCTTGTGGTTGTAGATTTTTTGGAAGTTAAATTCTTTGACAAATAAAAATATTATTAGATCGAGGTGCTGGAAGGTAAGCCCATTGGCAATCCTCTGACTTGTTTAAAAAGTTGATTTTGAAACTTGATGTAGTTATGAAAAAGTGTGCATTTTAGGTAAGTTTTCCATTTGTCAAGAGTCATGATATTGAGTATATTAGGGAAAAGTTTTGGTAGATCAAGTAGACTGGTATAGATTTCTTCTAGAGGAAGTGAGGTACATAAGTTTTCAAAATCATAGCAGTTAATGTTTTGAATGTTAATGGTATGAATGGTATTAATGACAGGAGTGTTATTATGAATGATCCAGCAATAGTTATGATTAGTGTTACAATCATTGAAAATAAATTTACAGATTTTATTAAGTTGAATTGAAAAATAATAGTCTATATTTTTCTTGTAATTATTAGTTCCATTAGCTATAAATCTAAATTTTAATGGTGTTTTATGGAATTTGGGAATCGCATAAAGATTAGTAAATCTGTTGTAGTTTGCATTGAAAGTAATATTGAGTTTTTCTTATGAAAAGTTTTAATCCTGTTTATTATAAATGTTTCTGTAAGGTTGGCTGATTGATAAGTAGTTGCGTTGAGAAGTTCTTTATGAATAATCTCAGTGTAGAATTGTTTTCATATAATGCTAAAGTTATTAGTTGCTTTATCTATTTTTGTAATAGTAAAAAGCTGTTTTTAATTTACTAATATCTGATGTAAGTTGCGACCAATTCAGTGTACTTTTAAATTTGAGGTGACTGATTTCTGTGGATATGCGTTGAAGAATTTTAGCTTTCCATTTTAAGAAGGTATCTATGGGTAAATTCAGTTGATAGCTTGCTTTAACTATAAATTCGTTGATGTTGTTTTCGAAAATCTTGTAACAGTAATTTGTAGTCATGTTCTTGACTGGTCTAATTTTGTACCATAACTCATTAGTGTTTTTAGTTGATGGTTTTGTATGATATTCAGGTTGCCAGTAATTGTGTGCTGGTGATGAGAATCTACGTAATTGCTGTAAATTGGTGTCTTACAATGTCATTCTGCAGTTTCATCTATTTCATGGTGGTTAGTAAGCAAGTTGCTTAAGGTCCTTTGATATTTAAATTCAATCATTGGTATTGTGTCAACTGCGGGGAAGTAATCTTTACAATCTCTGATGATTCTTGAGAAATGAATATTGTCAAACTGCGGATGCAGAAAATTGACTTTAAAAAAAACAATTTTTGCGTTTGAGTGAGACTATTAGAGAGTCTGAAAAGACTAAAATCAAGAATCATGTCTTTAATGATTTGTATGTCGTCGTAGCTTTCTTGAATGAATTTTTTTAGTTTGATAAGGAATGTATTAGTACAGGAGTGTAACCAGTTGAGAAGTTTCTTGGGAAAGCAGTCTGAGTCAAAAAACCATTTCAATTGTTTTTTTTCAATGCAAGTGTATTCAAAGTGGATAAAAATCTCGCATTATTTTTTATTTTGCTTCCTCTTTTTCCTCTCTGCGTTTTGATGCTGTAGAGTTTAAATTGGCTGAAAATAGACTTCTTAGAAGTATCTCTATGACTATGTATATAAGTGTTAAGTCCACATGGATAAAGTGAACGTTGTTTTAGTATATAGAGAGATTCCTGAAAAATTCGTGTTTTGTGATTGGGTATTATATCTAGTATCTGAAGTTGAATAGAGTTGAAGTCATGGTGTTTAAAGTGTTCTAATTCTGCTGTATTAAGTTGTGATGGTGTACTTATTTTAATGCTATTTTTTTTGTGCGTTGAATTTTTTTGATTTGAGCTCTATGGTTATTGATTCGAAAGTTAAGA